GAGGTCACCCTTTATGATATGCCAACATTTCTTGTAGAATTCTGCTGGGAATCCATCTGGTCCAGGTGCCTTATTCTGCTTCATCTGTGTTACTGCCTCGAACACCTCTTTTTCTGTAAACGGCGCAGACAAAATCTCATTTTCATCTGTCCTTAGCTGAGGAATATCCCCAACTGCGAGCTCGTCGAGGGACACAAAACTGTCCTCAGGTGGCCCGAAAAGTTGTTTATAATAATTTGAAATATACAACTTGAGGTTCTCATGCCCCACCACCGTACCTTCATCCTATTCGAGCTGGATGATTTTCTTTTTTCTATGTTTGCCATTCGCAATCACATGGAAGAACTGAGTATTGTCATCCCCTTGGACAACTCTCAGAACCTTAGCCCTCAGCGCCCATTTCATTTCTTCTTCTCTAAGAAGAACACGAAGATTCTGCTCAGCCTTAGTTTTAGCGGCCTGTTCAGTCGCGTGTAGCATGTTAGATTCCGCTTTCAAATCTAAAGCTTCGATCATACGGATAAGTCTATCTTTTGCTTGTTTATAAATCCCGCTTTCATTTCTGGCCCAACCCCTCAAAAATTGTCGCAAGTGCCTAATTTTATTTTGCCCCCTTTCGACACTCGAACGCCCACCAAAGTCCTTAGCCCATTCCCTTGCAACCATATCGAAGAATCCCTCTTTCTCAAACCAACTTAGTTCAAAAGAGAAGGTGTTCTTGTTGCCCATATGGGTCGCTTCTCCTGAATCGACCAGCAAAGGGGTATGATCAGAGATAGCCCTTTGTAACACCTGCACCGTTAGGGCAACCTGGTGCATGTAGCTCCCGCTTGCGCAGGGTCCAGGGAAGGGTCCGACCACTTTGGGTCTATAGTACGCAGCCTTTCCCTACATTTCTGTAAGAGGCTGTTTCCAGGACTTGAACCCATGACCTCATGGTCACAAGGCAACACCTGCACCGTTACAAGAGGAAACTTTTATTCCCAATCAACACTAGTGAGAACCCTGTCCAACTTTTCCTATGTGGGATTCGGCAACGAGTTTGCCCAAGTGAACTGTCTACCGGAGAGGTCGATCTCCCTCGGATTGAGGCTTTCAATGATCGTATTAAACATAAATGACCATCTTCCATCGAAGTTGTCATTATTCTTTTCTTCTCTTCTCCTTATAATATTAAAATCTCCTCCCACTAGGATTGGTAACCTTTCGTCCCTACAGCTTCTCACGAGATCAGCGAGGAAATCTGATTTGAACTCAGGTTGAGCTGCTCCATAAACAGCCACCAAAGCCCACCTAAACCCATCGAGTTTTGACCTAACACGAAACTTAACGGCATAATCTCCGTGGACGACGTTCATGACCTCAAAAGTTTCACACTTAACCCCAAGTAAAATCCCTCTGGATCGTCCCCTTGGAGGGAGACGGTGCCAGTCAAAATCTATACCACCAGATAAGGTACCAAGGAATTGTGAAGTGAAGTTGTCTCTACCCGTTTCTAGTAGGGCAATAAAGTCTAGTTTGTGCTCTAGTGACGCTTCCGCAAGGAACCTTTTTTCAGCCAAGTCTGCTAGACCTCTGCTATTCCAAAAGAGTCCTTTCATTTGTCATCATGGAATTTTTTCTTGAATTTGATTCTCGCACTTCTACAAACTGCCGATACAGGATAAACCTTCCTCTTCCAGGATCGTTTTGGTTTATCGTGCACCTCCTCCGCGTCCATATGACCGGGAGCAGTCAATGTCGTGCCTAGGCTTGCCCCTGCCCACCCACAAACTCCCGCCCTCTGCCTTCCAGCCTATCATCACCAATTGTTTCAGATACCTCACCGTCCAGCATGCTAAACTCCTCTCAAGAGGAGGACGACTCGTTCTAATCTGCTATGTTCTTGACTCCCTACCAACTTATTTCATATCAGGCTTTCAGCTTCCCAAAAAAGTTATCGAAGCTACCGACGCAATCCGTCGAGTCTTTTTCTGGACTGCTGAAGAAATGTGTACTGGTGCGAAGTGTCTTAAATTTTTGGAAAAATGTTTGTAAACCAAAAAAGTTCGGTGGTCTAGGCATCAAAGATTTGCATATCCAAAATAATTTCTTGCTCTTCAAATTTGCCTACAAATGCCTCACCTCCACCTCCCCTTTACCTTGAATTACTTGGTACCTATGAAACCACAACAACAGACTCACCCACTACACCCAACCTTCCTTCCTCTCAAGCATTATCAAGATCCATCTAAATACACTACTTCAGATTTCCTTCGTCCTAACAATTTTTTTTTCCGAGAAAACGCAAAAGACCTTTGCGTTTTCTTTTCATTGGAAATGTGGGGAGTCAGTTACAGTCGTCCTAGGATGAATATTTGCATGTCAACCTTCTTCTGGCAAGACCGTTGGCTCACCCAGCAACCTCTAGCTTCAACCTTCCCAAGCCTCTATTCCCACTCCACCAATGCCCATATACTTGTATCCAAATCATGCAGGAAGAATTACTATCGAACCTCCTGAACCGGCTGACCAACGCTGCCACGGCAGAGTTTCTTGATTTGCCTCAGTGATTGCTCGTGCATGCTTTAGGGTTCTCCTCCAAGGCTGCCTACGCCCTATTGAAGGGAAGATCAGGAGTGTGACCACGCCAATTTAATTTGGCGCAGCAGGAGCCTGAATAAGCTCAAAATCTTCGGTTGGCTACTCTTCAGAGGGCGCTTAAACACACGTGCTAATCTCTTCCGCAAGTATATTTCCTCCAACGCTGGCTGCCCTATATGCTCACTCATCGGAGGACATGGATCACCTTTTCCTCTGCTGCCCAAAAGTTAACCGGGTCTGACTCCTCCTCGGGCTGTCTCCTCCTGCTTGGTTCCAACACTTGTGGGCTGCCGTCATTCCCGACCACCTGGGTAGCTGCATTTGGCCGGAAGTGTTACTCTCCATTCTTTGGAAATCTGGGACTACTCAAGGAAAGCCGCCATATTCAGGAATGAAAACACACTGCCTTTGTAACCGTTAGGAACATTTGTAATGATTTTGATCTCGGGACTATTCAGATTAAATATCTGATAGATAGGGCAGCCTGTCTTGGGGCGACTAGTTCCCTTCACGAGTTGCCGTGACCCTGTAATTCTTAGCCTTTGGGTACAAAACTTTGCATTTGTTTGCGAGGTTTTATGCTGAAAGTATCAGACTATAGACATGTTGCTGTTCCTGTGACACCTCTGTACTGTATGTCGAAGGGAATTTGGTCTATATCTACAGAAGTTACTAGCTGTAAATTACGGCCTGTTGGTTGGCAGCTAAGGGGCTGTTCGGTTTCTAGCCACGCTCCACATTTTTCTGCCAAATTTGCCTAACCTTAGGTACAAAAATTCTTGGCCACACTTTAGCTTGCCTATAAGAAAATCTTGCCATACTTTTTGTGTGTCTGACATATATGGGTCTTATTTTTCACAAAAAGAACGTTTTCAAAGCCGTGGCTAGAACCAAACACCACCTAACATGGTCAAATTTGCCCCTACACTGTATGTGTTATGCGTTTCTTATTCCATAGAGAAAAGTATATTTTTCGTCCCTCAACTTTACCGATAGTAGAAATGGTCCCTCAACTCCAAAACCAAATGCTAATTGGAACACCGCTTCATATCCGGGGTGAAAACTCTTGTCCTGGTCTTTATTGGCCGGGTTCAGCAACGACCAATTTGCGTTGTTACCTTGTTGAAAATTGTTATCCACTGCTGTTGTGCTGGTCTTCATTGGCTCATCTCAGCAATTATGGTGAAAATCATTCCGGTCAGACGTGACAACGATGACGTGTATCCCTTCTTGAAGGCATTGTTGCAGAAGAAGTCTGACTTAGTCGTAGGTGTTAATTTCACACCTTGTAATGGTTCGGTCATGGCTGTGTGCATCGCGATGATGTAGACGCCGGGGTTTTTAACCTCCTTTTTGAAAGAAAAAAACCTCGAAAACCAGAAAAACATATTCCATCAATTATTGAAATCAGATATTTTTCGTCCCCAGGGTTACTTCGGGTAGTTTCCTCGTTTTCGAGTTGAAGGACCATTTCTAAACTATGGGTAGAGTTGAGGGACAAAAAATATATTCATTCTATTCCATATTGATCTGGGCATGTAGATATATAAAAAAAATGCATATTCATTTCTTAATTTTGCAGCAAAAAATGGAATATATATCAATCTTGTAAAGGATGTTCAAGATGCTTTTGGGGAAATGATCTGGTGAAGATTGACTGCAAAGGTTTGGAACCAAGCGACTACAAAAAGATTGGGGCAAAACTGAGGGTATTCATTCCCACACAACTGTTATGTTTCCATGTCATCACCGCTGATGGAAGTATATTAACTTTATAGTTTATTGTACTCTCGACCGAAAATTCTGTGTTTCTATGTATGCAGGATCTTGTTCCTTGCGTCCTTTTGTCATTTGACAAGGAGCAGATATTAATCTACAGAGGCAAAGGATGGAAATCCAGATATTTGAAGCCTCTCACCCCTGTTCCAAAAGTTGAAAAGAATAATCTGGCAGTGTCATATGTTGTGGATAGCTCAGGTGTGTGCCTGTAATTTGCACTCACAATTATTTATCATACACAAGGCAGCAATAATTTTTTGAACAGCTATGCTTACATCAATACAAGGCCATTTGGAAACAGTGCAATCACGGTCTCGTTGCTTTGACATGCTCATTTCTTATAGAATGTTGCAGCCTATTTTTATTTACTATTTTAATTTTGCGCCCCACTGCAAGTGATCGATTGGATGCCTATGTTTCGTACATTTTGTTTGTTCACTCTCAGGTATCCATGTGCTGTATAAATAAAATCATCTCTAATGGCACTTGAATAAGATGGGTTTCTCAAGCCTTTTAAATATTTTTTTCAAAAACCTTTGCACTCTGTGTGGACATAACATGAAAACTTGTATTTTTATGCAGGTGAATCCGCTGGCGCCAGCAACAATGTGACAATAAGAGATGTATTGAGACCCAGAATGTTTAAACTGTGGAAGCGTGCAATAGAGTCATCCATAGCATTGTCGCTAGATGACGATGAAGCCAATGCACTTACACCTGACACGCTTCTTATGAGGGTTGAGGAGTTCAGTATCACATTGCAGGCTGTGGAGCATTCATTCCCAGCTTTGCTCGTGGGCAATGGTAAGGAGGGCCCTGAAGCTCTAAATGAGTCTGATGATGGAATCATTAGACCCCAAGAAAATCAGTTTGAGAAATCACTTGATGCCGGCGATGATGATCACTTTGAATACGACATGCTCGAGCGTCTGGAGTCATCGGCGCCACTGGGGTCATTACCGATCGACTCTGTCATAGAGCAGTTGAACAGCGAGTAACAGCGATAGATGCCGTTATTACTGGGAGTTCAGGCTAAATGGCTAATGAAGCTGTTGAAGCATTTTT